TATAGCCTGATTTACATATTCACAGTGCCGGGGTGTTTGTATAATGCAGACAGATCCAATAGCAGCTGATATTGTTCCCTATTGAACATATGCAATATTATTTTATATTCTAGAAATCCCGATCATATTAAGAGTTATGAACAGGTTGTTCAAATAACCTTACTTTGTGTTTTTTCAATTGTAAATTTGAACCCTTAAATGCTAGAGCAATGAAACAAAAAACCTATCTTATAAGTATAGAGCCTTGTCAACTTGCAGATCATTTTTTATTTGTTTGGGTCATCAGACCAAACAAATAATGGTAGCGAAATTTTCAGAGTCTAATGTTGTTAATTGCAAATGCCGAAAGTATCCACTTTTTTGAAGGCGGTTACTTCTCCCTTTTGTATGTTACACTAACGCCGAAAATTCAGGGGAGATCACTGCGTAAAGATGGTCAAAGACAGGCGCGTTAATTTCAAGCAAAGTGATTTCCGAATGGTCAAGATTTTAATATTGTTTTTTGATTTTTGATGAAAATAATAAATAAAAAGGGGCATTCAATTTACACAGAATTTCGAAAAACCAAAACAACAATAGTTCTAAAAACAGCAAAAAAACAAAACTTAAAAAAAAAAATTTTTTTTTTAAATTTTCCAAAAAATTTACAACCTTAAAATTTAAAACAATAGGTTGGCTTATAAAATTTGTAAAAAAAATGCAAAATAAAAATTGCCGGATAAAATATTTTTTATCAAAAAATACTTTTTTTAGGTGTGGTTACCGAATACTACAAAAACCGAGTAGTGGAATAAAAGTTTCCATGGAGAAATTTCGCTAAAATATTTTTCAATTTAAAAAACTTTTATCCTAAAAAATACCTCAAAATTTAATAAGGATTACAAACTGAAATCAAGGGAATTTCAATTTTTAAAATGATTTTGAAGATTCAGCCCTTGTTTATAATTTCTGGGTGTTAGGGGTAACGGCTCGTTTAGGAGTGAGGGGTCTTGGTTGTCCCAACGAGGAATTTTTTTTTTTTAAATTTTTTAAGTGTCTTTGTTAAGGAAGTAGCCTGTATGCAAGGGTAAAGTTGGTCGTAAAAAAAGAACATAAAAGTTTTTTGATGCAATCATTATGCAGAATTCCCTTTTAAAACTCTGGTGCTTTTAAAAAAATTTTAAAACTAAAAAAAACTTATACAGGAAAACATACAGAATACATACGATTTTAATTGCAAAGATCAGAAAATCCACAGAACTTTCACCCTTTGATTTTTTTAATATAACGCTTTTATAAACCAGGATTTTTTTCATCTTTTTAAACAACAGTTAAAGCGTTTAAAAAGCCCAATTTTTAATAAAATGGTTTTTTTTTAGGGGGTTACATATAATTCACCGTGCCTGAAGGGGTTTCGGGCTCGCTTAGGAAGCGTGAGGTCTGGAGTTCAAATCCCAGTAAAAAGGTAACTCATTTTTTTTTTTTTCAAATTGTTAAAGTCAAATAAACATTGGATTGAATATCAGTGTTGAAATTAGTCTTATAGCCAATTTACTACAATTAAAATGCTGGAAAGCATTGGTGGCACTATACATATAATCTCACAACTTGCAACTTTCTTACATTCTGAGACCCAAACAAATTCAGCGCCTTCTGTGCTTTGATTTATTACTGTTCACTGTATGGTTTAATTAATCAAACTTGCAGTTCCAAATTCTAAGCAGAACATTACTAACATTCCAGCAGTCAGAATTAAGGTCAGGAAAATACTGTGTCATCACAAGTACTCTGTAAATACATGTGCGGTACATGAAGTACATTAGTATTATTCTGAGTAAATCATATTATATACAAGTAAATATTTACCTCTCGAATCTTGGACAAATTGGAGCTGTGTTTATGATGTTCCCCACCACTACCATCTTGACCTTCCCCTGGCACAAGTACCTGGTAATATAACCAATAATGAAATAATAAAACCAATAATGAAATTATATAACCAATAATGAAATAATTATATTCATGGTCACTCACATTAACACACATTTTACAAAAAAATGTGCAACTTTAACACAAGATGTTATGAAAGTCTTATGCCACCAGTATAAAGGAAGACCAGCCTACATGTCTGTACAGTCACACCAGCCTTTCTTCTGTCACCTGCTTAATTACAGTAATTCTATTCTTTAATTATTTAGTGGCCTCAGCTGTGTTCCAACTTTCTTAATTTTTATATTGAATTACCTGAACTTATGATCATATTAAATGACCAGCTTTAGGACTATAACTTATTTCCTTAAAAAAAATCACATGTATTTTAATAAGACATAATTATAAGCTCAGTGTTGTAACTTAGAGAAAATTATGTGAAAGGGTGAAATAAAAGACAATTTGCAATCAAAACAAATCGGTTATTTCATATTTGATTACTTTCCAACCAACTAAATGGATTTTATTCATAAACTGTGGTAAAATGTAAGTTCTAAAATGAGAAATAGCCTAACAGGGACAAAATTTAGGAGCAAATTTAATTCATTGTAAAACACACAGAGTAATCAAAATACAAATTAATTAATTTGATAAAATTGCTTAATGTTCATTGCTACAATAAAAACCTGTATATTTATACCAATATAGAAAGTCTTTTCTAAAAAAATTGTCCGTGCAGATATATAATAAATCAGTTTATAGTTAGTCAAACTAATTTAAAAATGTCTTTACTGCATAGTCATGTTACAGCTGATTCATTTAACGATGCTATATAATCTATTCTCAGCAATACATAAATTTTCATGTAAGACTAATGAATGTCACATCAAACTCACTATTAAGACAGATTAATCAAAGGAGATTCTGTGATCAAGAATGAAGAATCATGGGATTTTTTACAATCAAGAATGAGTTCTTGGTTAATGTTATGAAACCTTTTCCATAGAGACCTCCACCTCAAAATGTAGTCACCACTAAATGGGTACATTTCTACCACACGCAAATATGATTTAGTAGTATGTAACTCAGGAAATTACATAGGTAATTGTATGTTAAATAAATTTTAATAAAAACACACAACAAAACAAAGTAGTGATCCTGTGTTGGTGTGTCCTGCAATTTTGTCTATGTTCAATATCTTGATTATTTAACTTTACATTTTGGTAGGAAAAGTCATGTGACACAATCATACCGGCTAATAAACATGTGCTCGCTGTAGAGCTCAATTTTTGGGGAGGCTATGCCGACCCAATGTTAATAACTGTTCGTCAAATCTTACTGCCGCGGTAATCAGGTCAAAAAATAGTACCTTGATTTTTTCTAAGCTTACTCATCACTCATCACAGACATTTACAATATGAAAATATTTTCATTCTTTAATTTCATATCTGCAATTTGTAAAGATAATAATTCTCTGAAAATTCTTGATTTTTGTATAAATCACTACTCCGTGACGTCATACTGCCGCGGGTAATCAGGTTTAGGCATACGTACGTCTGTAATAAATAGTTCAGGTATGAAAACCCTTCAAAAATAATAACTTTATCAATATTTTTTTAACAAAAAGCAGTATTTCGAAAACCAGCTTGCCTAAGAAACACACTCACAAAATCAGACATCAATCCCCAGATGAAACCACAAGGATCACACCCATGTAAAAGAAATTGTATCGCATGCAAACATATCAGCAGTAAATCATATGTTAAAAATTCATTCAACAGGAAAATACTTTCATATCAAAGGCACATATGACTGTAATTCATCCAGTTTAATCTATTTTTAATAACATGCAATAAATGTGGTATACAATATGTAGACAAACCGGAAATACTTTAAAAACGTCTAAGGGGCCATTTGCAGACAAAAAAAATCCCAACAATTTATAAACCCTTTTCCCCCATTACACCACAGAAACAATTTAAGAGTCGACGAAAACATTTTTTATCAACACCAAGAACGTCAACATCCCCCTCAAATGAAAAAACCTTTAATATCTATTTAAAAAAAATCACCATCCGGACTTACCTTAAAAAGAAATAATGGACTTTAAAAGAAATTTCAAAACAACATTTAAACACTAACAACGAACACTCATTGAAATATCCAAAAAAATACGACAATTAAAACCTGCACAAATTTTTGAAGGATTAAAAAATAACTTTAACCAAAACTTTTAAAATTCACCAAACACGAAAAATTAATTTTTTATCTAAACTGCAACAACCTTTAGCCGACGGAACCTTTAGAAAAAAAGCAATACATAAAAAACAACACTAAAACGATACCTCACCAAAATTAGAGAAAAAAACACGACAACATTGAAATAAAACCTATCAAACCTTGGAAAAAACCTTTGAATCAACCACCATACCGAAATTCCGTATAATACCCCGGCGTTAAATCATGGCTACAGAATACACCACAATCAACAACGGACGAAATTTTAAAAGAAATGATAATAGATCCGGAATTATCCCCACTTCAACTGTCACCCTTTAGAAGTAACAATCCGTCGCCGTGCAGCAGCCACACAAGTACATCAACCAATTGCCAGGATGAAAAAGAAACACTGAATGACGTTAACATAAACATTTATTCCATTTACGGTATTTTTTCTTAAAAGTATACAGCTAAATATAGATTATGGGGTAAACCAAAATGACATAATTTAAAACTATTTTAGAACAAATCACGTGACGTAAAGTAATACCCGATTTTTTGTACGTTAGACAATGATTTCTATTATTCTGATATTTTATAACCCTGATGAAGACTCGTGAGAGTCGAAACGTCGGTTATCATCATTAAATAAACCTTAAAACTTATCCTGTGTTGATTGTTTGTTCCACTTGTATTGTTTTTTATTGTAAAAAGCATAAATGAAAATTTATAAGTAAATGCTTTAATTTAGTGGCAAAAATTCTTTATTATTTTTGATAACAATTTTCCAATTACTACGCAGCGACCAACTGTTTATGACGCGGTCATTAACTAGAACGTTCCAACACCGTATTCTCCATTGGTCTTACTGACGATATTTGAGACCGGTGTATATACAATGCCGTATTCTCAATATCATGCATGTTATTTTGTTGTTATAAACCATTAATGTCCTTAATATTTTTTAAAGACAAATAATTGTAAACTGTCGCTTACATCAGAGACATGGATCATGCTTGCGTGATAACTAAGGCCTTTAAGGAAAAACTAACTTATTAGTACACCCCAGGAGGCTGTACCGCGGAAAACGGTCATAAACCGCTATAATCATATAGCTGTTAGTAAATATTTTGCATACATTTAACTAAAAATTCACTGATGGTGATGAGCATATAGTTTGAAACATTATATTCTTGAACCATTATCGCCGAAAAAAAACTATTTAACTACAAAACCCCTATAAGGACCTTCAGACAAAATTCAAGCACAATATTACATTTTACATTAGCAAAATAAAAATAGCAATACTTATAATTTTCATCTTACATAATTCATTAATCAAACTTTTAACATAAAAGTATATTTGGCAATTGACAGATCCCTACTCTGATCTTTTATTTGTATAGGAATACATTTAAACATGTGCTCTTTTGTTTAGGAATATTTGTAGTGAAAGTCTTATATATTCACTGATCTCATAATTAGAATTAGACAGGTCAGGGATTTATACAACCAGTGTTTACTTAACTATGCTCATTTTAATCCCAATAGAAACATTCAAATATTTGGGGTAAAAAACATGACCAAAGTACCTAGTAGTCGTTTACCCGGTGGTGATCCCATTAAACTGATTATAGATTCGAATTGATTAGAAAACACAAATAGAAACATGTGTTTCCGTACAACAAAAATCGGAAGTAAAGTGAACAGTTTAATTGACAGAAATATGTGGTCAAATATGTTTTAACAAAGAAATAATTATTTCAGAGAAAGACGCAAAAGATCAGTATGACCCCGTATTGTGTAATTAGAAAGTTTTATTCAATTCTAGGGCATACATCATAAATTTGATAGTCCATGTGTAATAAAATTCAAATTTCAATAGCCAGATTATGAGATACATAAAAATATTAAAGATTAAGAAGCTTTAATTAAAAAAAAAAAAAAAAAAAAACAAAACAAACAAACAAACAAAAACAAAAACGCATACATAAAAAATTACTTACAGTCGAGCATCTGGAAGTCATTAACATATCTTACGCAACTTTAAAATTTGAAAACGATATTTGCGCGAGCTGAAGTGATTAATGTTTATTTGAAAAATAAAAAAAAGAACTTTTATGTTTGTGTTCTAAAAAAATCGACGGCATAAGAGGAATTTCTTATTCATTTTACAACACTTGAAAAAAATTACTTACGAAAAAAGTTTTGTTTTTTTGTTTTTTTTTCAACAAAATGGTGTGTTTTTAAAATTATTTATACCCCGCCGGGAAAAACCTATTCCCAGATTTTAGCATTGGGGCTCTTTTTTAAGGGAGATTCTTCCCCGGGAAACCCATTCTTCGGCTTTTTGGGAAAGGGACGACAAAACCGTCAAGGGATCAATTTCTGACGACACAAAAAAGGGAAACTATTACGCCAAACCCCGAGTAAAACAAGACAAGGCAACCAATCACCTTGGGACTTTTGGGTGATTGGGTAAATTCCCTTCCCCGTGCCTTTTCCCGACGTTTCCAACCTCTGGGGGAAATTTGGGGGGAAAATTTAAAAAAAAACTTTCCCAAAAACGCCCCTTTTTAAAAACCATTCATAAACACTGACGGTTTGATGTTTTCTCTATTTTCGGGAAAGGGGGGCAGGGAAAAAACCCCAACCAATAACCCGACCCCTGTTTAACAACAGATTTTTTCCGCGTAATAATTATATTTCAAGCTAGTGGGTTTAAAAAATAACAAGCATCGATTTAACTACCATAAGTTGGGTTGATGTTGGCGGTAAAAAATTATAACTTCCTGATCAATTTTCCACTTAGGTTGATTCAGTTTTGGGGAATAACTTTGGGGCAGTATGTTTTTTTTCAAAGAAATATTTTAGCTTAATATTATCCGACGCCCGCAGTTTAATGAAAATGGAAATAAATTTTTCATGAAAAGTGATTTTTTTCGAGATTTCTTCGGGAAGACAACCCTTCTTTCCGTAGAACATTAAATATTAAACTCATATCACAAGACATATCCCTTATTGACTCAAAATTAATGGTACATCTAAACGTGTAAATTTTTATGTTAAATAAAAAATTTGCATCCTTTGCATTGTTATTATCATTCAATAATATTTAAAATTCATAAAATAATTTACTGGGTAAAAAAGGGGGCCTAGAATTTTGACACAGGAAATTGAAAATTTTTATCAAATAACCAAAAATTTAACCCAAAAAAATCCAAAAATACCCCCAATTACTAAAAATTTTTTTTTTAAAAATAGGGGGTAATTTGGGAAATTTTAAAAAAATTGGGGTTTTTATAAATTTCAATTCCCCGTATTTTAAAAAGGAACCGTCAGTTTTTAAAATTTTTTGTTTTTCCCGAAAAGAAAAAGTCGTCCCTACTTTCTGGAATTATTTTTATTGGGAGTTTAAAGGGTTTTTTAAATTTGTAAATTAAAAGCCCCAATTAAAATCTATGAAAATTTCCCGGGAAAATTTAAAAAATTAGCAACCCCCATTAACCAAAATATTAATGGGGAAACAAACAGAAGGTTTAAAAGCGCAAAATTCTATTTTTTTTTTTGGGAAAATATTTTAAGCAAAAAGAAAAAACATATTTTTCTGAAAAAAATTTTTATAGCCCCCCATCATACATTCAGGGTTTTATTTAATTTTGGGGCAACATTTTCAGACAAATTTTTTTTGTCAAATTTCCCGTCTTTACCCAATCACAAACATCCGTATTGTTGGGGGTGGGAAAAATGTTTTTAAAAAACTGCGGCATCCCGGGGTATTAATAAAAATTTTGGCAGCCCCAAACCAAGCCAAAAACTTCAATTAGCTTTGTCCCGTTGAAAGGAAAAAAAAACAAACAAGATGGGACATCCTTTTCTATTTTTTTGTGCAAACCATAATTAAAATTATAATTCGGGGTTTTTGGGGTTGAGAAAAAAAAATATTTAATGATTTTCCCCCTGTGCGTGCTACAAAATTTTGATGTCATTCTTTAAAGTTGGTCATTTGATCAATAATTATCTTTATGCAGTTTTTAAACTGGACATAATAATTGTTTTGTCAGTGCCAGGTATTACAGAACAAAATAGAGAAAAGTGAGGCCAACTTCAACAAGTCATAATTAATGGTGTCCCAACTTGAAAAACACTTAAGATCACAGTCAAACCCTTAAGTATAGCATTAATGCAAAATTTGGAGAAAAAAAAAACCCAAAAACCAATATGATCAAACAAAAAACCACGATAATTGAAAATCACGAAGGCGACTTTTAAAACTGGCCTTTAATAGCATTTCTCATAATTCTGATTACAACTTCCAAAACTTTATCACAACTATCTATGCTTGTTAAAAATATTTTGTCATTCTAACCAAACAATTATGAAATTGAAGGTGTGAAATTAAGAATTATATTAGCAAATATCAATAATTTCAGTGTTTGATACAAACTAAATAAAGTGGATGTTGTATAATGTATTAAAACTAGGACAGCTGTTGTATACATCAAATCAATATATGACAAAATGTCATTGTGGATAATTTACAGAACATGACTGAATCTACAGGTTGTGTTACCAATAATAAGGTACTATGTGTCATAATATAGCCGTTCAGGCAACAATTGAAATATTGTTCTTATTGGTGGGTTGTTCTTGAACATACCAACTGTAAGGACAGCATTTTTTCTTAAAGCCTATCCCAATAACTTAAGTCATGAAATTAGGTAATTCAGGGGAACAATACATTTTTTTTTTGCAAATAATTATTGAAATTTGTAAAAAAAATTTAATAATGAAACACTAATTGGGAAAAATTCAATAATCATTGTAATTTTGTGATTCTATTTTTTAATAATTGTTGTCATTTTTGGAAAATTAACATACAAAGATTTCCAGCCAACAGAAAAGGGTATATGGCCTTAAAACCCTGCAGGGATTTGGACCAAAAGAGGCGTATTAAGCACATGTAAGCCATCTTTGAAATATTGCATAAAACCATAATTGTTTTAAACAAATTAAGCATTTCTACAAAATTATATAGCATTTCAATGTTTTAAACTATAATAAATAACAAGTGAAACACATTTCAGATATGTGGTATATCTGAAAACACAATATATGTATCATTTTGAAATTGATGTTGTTTTCTTTCAGCATTGCAATAGTTATTAAAGTCAGTAGTTAATTGTTTTAATGATATATCATACACACAAATTCAAGGGAATAATGCAAAACATAAGTAAACTTGAACTGCCACTGTCATGGCGTGAATACCCCTGCATACCACTTTGTCAGACTCAACAGTGGTCACTTAGAGCTCAAGGACAACCTCCCAGCCAAATCTGAGGGAAGTAAGCCAGCGTATTGTTAAGTTATGTATTCTACATGTTTTAGTGGCAAAGATCAAAGTGACCTTTACCTTTGACCTACTGACCTAAAACTGCCACTGAATGACTTCAATACCCCCCCCCCCCCAATTCATGCAGCTTTGCCTGGAGGTGTTTTATGATGAATATATGACAACATAATTATAGCCTTCAAATGTAAAAATGAAAAACTCAATACACTGTGGACAGGCATTCTTAAGCATTTGAGCAGAAAAGCTTATTGTAATAAAAGCCCCTGGGACCTTGACCTTTGACACAGTCACCTTAAAATCAAAATGGGTCATCTAATAGTCATAACCAACCTCAATACTAAATATGAAGACTGTTGACTAAAGCATTTTTATGCAATTGAGCAGAAAAGCTTTTTGAACTAAAGGCCCCTGTGACCTTGACCTTTGACCCAATGACCTCAAAATCAATAGGGGTCATCTACTAATCATGACTAACCTCCATGCCAAATATTAAGACTGTGGGTCAAAGGATTCTTAGGTAATTGGATGGACAAGCCTTTATTAGTCAAGGCCCCTTTGACCTTTACCTTTGACCTTAAAATAAATAAGGGTCATCTACTAATCAAGACTAACCTCCATGCCAAATATGTAGACTGTAGGTCAAAGGATTCTTAAGTTATTGGGCGGACAATATCTTTTCTGTCAATGCCCCTGTGACCTGGTGACCTCAAAATCAATACAGGTCATCTATTTATCATGACTAACCTCCATGCCAAATATGAAGACTGTGGGTCAAAGAATTCTTAAGTTATTGGGCGGACAAGCATTTTGAAGTCAAGGCCCCTGTGACCTTGACCTTTGACCTCAAAATCAAAAGCTGTCATCTACTAATCATGACTAACCTCCATGCCAAATATGAAGACTGTGGGTCAAAGGAATCTTAAGTTATTTGGCAGACAAGCTTTTTGAAGTCAAGGCCCCTGTGACCTTGACCTGGTGACCTCAAAATCAATAGGGATCATCTACTAATCATGGCTAAGCTCCATGCCAAATATGAAGACTGTGGGTCAAAGGAATCTGAAGTTATTGGGCGGACAAGCTTTTTGAAGTTAAGGCCCCTGTGACCTTGACCTTTGATGTGGTGACCTCAAAATCAATAGGAGTCATCTACTAATCATGACTAACCTGCATGCCATATATGAAGACTGTGGGTCAAGGGAATCTTAAGTTATTGGGCGGACAAGAAAAAACCGACGGACAGCCAAGCTGATTCCAGAATACCCCCTTACAACTTTGTTGTGGGGGGTTATAATAATTGCTTCAAAATTTAATATGCAAATAATTCTTGCAGGAAATATCAGTAAAAGTTTGATTTTCGGTTTCACATTTCGAATGTCTGATATGCTATTGTTTGATCACTTTTATGTTTAATAGTCCTAACTGAACATCAGTTGTTGTTTTTTTACTTAAAAAAAAAACCTTGACAATTTTTGGCGACCAAAGGAAACAGCTAATAAGTGATTCATTGAGTATTTATGAATATTTGTGAACTTGCCTGACCATTTTATCCTATTTCAATCAACTTTAATGACAAAACACCCACACCAAACTCAAGATGGGGTTACAAAGCCCCTGGGTATATCATGCATTAAATTTCGTTATGTGCCTGTCTTCCGGTACTGACATTGACTGACATGTACATGTATATTGAGCGAGAGCCTGTGTCATGTTTCCATATTTTAATTGACATTTAAAGTATGTCATCAGAAAAATTAACAATATAATTACACTCAAAGCTTGGCTAGAACCCTGCTGTTTCTATGGTTACATCATTTCAGGTGATTTATAGCTTTAAATACATGTACACTTATAAATCTACATGTATTGTATGTTAACCATTTGTTTGGTGAAATTGACATTGGATTTTTGAAATTCAGTGGAAATCAATGACATGGCAGAAGAAAGGGAGATAAGGGAGAAAATGACCTGATGGGATATGACATGTAAGACTTTTGAAATTGTATAGATAGAAAAGTGGCAGAAACTACTGCAAGTATTTCATTCATTATTTACCTGACTCTTATCAAGTCCATTTGTGACAGGTTGTTTGGTTGGGACTACATCTGTGTTCTTTTTCATACCATTGCTTCCAATCTAGAAAATAAAACAACAAAACATTATACTGAAATAAACAGACTGACATCATCTGAAACATGTAACACTTACTTCGTTCTCCAAAGTTAAAGAACAAAATGGCTGACAGGATCTTTAGGGGTGTCCTGGCCAAAATTGTACAATTATTTATCAAACTCTCTCATGATTCCCAGATTAAGGCCACACTTAAACTGAGTTCCAGAATGGCTATCCCCAATGCCTCGATTGGTGGTTAAAAAAAAACTGGGTATAAAATATGTAGTTTGGAATATTTTATATGGCCATGGCCATTTAGAGGTAGTTATAATAAATATAATGATGGTGTTTTACATACTGTAACATGCTGTTATATCCAAATATTAATCAAATATGCTTAGAATACAAATTCTACAAAACCTTAATAAACCTTTATAATCTATCTTGAGGGTCAATGTCATTTTAAGGCCAAGATCATATTTTAATAACTTTACATTTATGCTTTAATTTCTCAAAAAAACTAATGCTAAGCATTGCTTTCTCCATGTTTTAATTAAATCTGCCCATAAATAACAAAGTTCATTTTAATTCAATTTTAGCAACCATAGTATCATGGTGATATAAAAGTCAATGTCAATTTCAGCCTCAACTACTAATTTATTTATTTTTTGTATTCCATCATTCTTTTTTTATTCTGAGGGGATGGTAGACATAATTATAAGATATCTTGAAATACTCTAGCACTAATGATTATAAAACTTATTTTCCCTTGATTTTCTGCAATAATAAGGGAGGGTTATATAAGGGCATACATTATTAATGAGAAATTATGGCATAACATTGTGTTTTTGACAAGAAGCCTCATGCATCTAAATGTTTAAAATATCATGAACATACAATACAGGATGTAAAAATATAATACAAATCAATATAGTTATATCACGAAGATTACAAACCAAATTTTCCCTAATCTGATAATTATATCATTATCTATAATCATGAAGAAAACCAGAATGCAGAGAAGACATTGACAGAAGTGTGAATAAAATAGAGAACATATCTTTGCAATAATAACTCACACAAGGTGGAACAACTGTTTAAATACAAGCTTAACAAAAACTGTGATTTATCATTATATGAATTTTTTCAGGGTATAAATAATGAAAATGAGAAAATAATTTGACAATGCAGATTCAGTTACAGAACCACTTGCCAAATGAAAACTCATTAATGTAAACAAATGCAACATCCATCGCTGCTAGACTTCTCTTCTGACAATTATTTATATAATAACAAATTAAGATGTATCCTTAAGATTAGATTATAACTTGCTTTTTCTTGAAAAAATTATTCTTGATTTTATACGATATTATAATGACAGTTATTACTTGAGCAAATTCAAAGTTGTAATTACATAAAGTTATGCAGGACTCCAAATAGGTTTAGTCCAACAAACTGCTATACTCTGTTTGCTTGGTTTGTATCAGCGCGCCAACACAATTTAGGTCATATGGCACCAAAACAGTAAAGATGATTTTGGCTAACCTTGGGTGTTACAAACTTAAACCAACACCAGATAATCTGCTGGAGCTAAAAGATGCATAGACTCCAGCAGTCGCCTCTTTTGATCATGCAGTCATAAACTGTGGCTGCAATTCTGATGCCTCATCCATCAAAGGCAACCCCTCAGCCACAAGGGGAAACTATTCTATAAAATGATGTTGTGCTATCTTATTTTTGGGCAATATCTCTCCTCTACAATTTAGAAGTGATTTTTAGACCAAAAACAATAAGTATCCAGAATCTAGCTTTGGATAATAAAATATTTTGACTATCAGAAGGTACTGAATCTCACAAGACAATTACTCTTTTACCAAAGTTTTCAGGAGTCAAATCAAATTTTTCTTGGATGCATGGATCTCAATGATCAACGTTTTTTTTGTTTTTTTATTTAACTTTTAAATTGGTGGTCTCATTTAACATTTAAAAGTGATAGATTATATAATTGTAAAGAATGGTATTTATTAAAAATATAATTAATTGGTTTTTTTTAGTCCATATTGACATATCCAAAACAAGATATGTTTGTAAAACATGTATGCCCCCTATCAGCAGCCAATTAGTCATGTGATAAGGTTATTATGCATGACTTCTGACCCAGTGATCAAACAATTAAAAAGGATTATCAAGTATCTACTGGTCATGACCTTAACCTTTGACCCCTTGACCCAAAACTCAATAGGGGTCATCTACTGGTCACGACCAATCATCATACAAAGTTTGAAGTTCCTAGGCCTAAGCGTTTTTAGTTAATTGATCAGAAACCGTTTTTACCTTCAAGGTCAATGTGACCTTGACGTTTGCCCACTTGACCCCAAAATCAATAGGTCATCTGCTGGTCATGACCAATCACCATACCAAGTTTGAAGTTCCTAGGCCTAAGGGTTCTTTAGTTATTGATCGGAAACCGTTTTAACATACAAGGTCAATGTGACCTTGACCTTTGACCCCAAAATCAATGAGGGGCATCAGCTGCTCATGACCAATCACCATGCCAAGTTTGAAGTTCCTAGGCCGAAGCGTTCTTTAGTTATTGATCAGAAACCGTTTTACTTACAATGTCAATGTGACCTTGACCTTTGACCCCTTGATCCCAAAATCATTAGGGGTCATCTGCTGGTCACGACTAATCATCATACAAAGTTTGAAGTTCCTAGGCCTAAGTTTTTAGTTAATTGATCGGAAACCGTTTTTACCTACAAGGTCAATGTGACCTTGACCTTTGACCCCTTGACCCCAAAATCAAAAGGTCATCTGCTGGTCATGACCAATCACCATACCAAGTTTGAAGTTCCTAGACCTAAGGGTTCTTAAGTTATTGATTGGAAAGCATTTTTACCTACAAGGTCAATGTGACCTTGCCCTTTGACCCCTTAACCCCAATATCAATAGGGGTCATCTGCTGGTCATGACCAATCACCATACCAAGTTTGAAGTTCCTAGGCCTAAGGGTTCTTTAGTTATTGATCGGAAACCGTTTTTACCTATGAGGTCAATGTGACCTTGACCTTTGACCCCTTGAACCCAAAATCAATAGGGGTCATCTACTGATCATGACCAATCATCATATCAAGTTTGAAGTCCCTAGGCCTAAGGGTTCTTTTGTTATTGATCGGAAACCGTTTTTACCCAAGAGGTCAATGTGACCTTGACCTTTGACCCTTAACCCCAAAATCAATAGGGGTCATCTGCTGGTCATAACCAATCACCATACCAAGTTTGAAGTTCCTAGGCCTAAAAGTTCTTTAGTTATTGATCGGAAACCGTTTTTGCTTACAAGGTCAATGTGACCTTGACCTTTGACCCCTTGACCCCAAAATCAATAGGGTCATCTACTGATCATGACCAATCACCATACCAAGTTTGAAGTTCCTAGGCCTTAAAGTTCTTTAGTTATTGATCGGAAACCATTTTTCCTTACAAGGTCAATGTGACCTTGACCTTTGACCCCTTGACCCCAAAATCAATAGGGGTCATCTACTGATCATAACCAATCACCATACCAAGTTTGAAGTTCCTAGGCCTTAAGGTTCTTTAGTTATTGATCGGAAACTGTTTTTCCTTACAAGGTCAATGTGACCTTGACCTTTGACCCCTTGACCCCAAAATCAATAGGGGTCATCTACTGATCATGAACAATCACCATACCAAGTTTGAAGTTCCTAGGCCTTAAGGTTCTTTAGTTATTGATCGGAAACCGTTTTTGCCTACAAGGTCAATGTGACCTTGACCTTTGACCCCTTGACCCCAAAATCAATAGGGGTCATCTACTGGACATGACCAATCACCATACCAAGTTTGAAGTTCCTAGGCCTAAGGGTTCTTTAGTTATCACTCGGAAACCATTTGGTCTACGGACCGACGGACCGACGGACCGACAGACCGACGGACCGACGGACCGACAAGTGCAAAGCAATATACCCCCTTTTCTTCGAAATGGGGGCATAATAAGGTCATACAATACCACTATCAAATCTATTAGCAAAGATAGAAGACCCTACCACATACAAAACATACACTGATTCTCATAAGTTTATTTGTACTTTAAATTTTCACTTCAATTCACTTTAACCCTCTTGTATATCGTTTTAAAGTTGTTGTTTATTTTTGCAACTTCCCAGCATTACAAGTGACAGGGAGACCTCATGTGCCCTCCAGCCTCCAGGCAGAACTGCCAATGTTCAGAAAGCAAGCTGGATAGCTTCATCACAGGGAAAAACCTAAAGTCCCCCACAGAGATAAAGGGTAATGAGCCTGAAGTCAATGACCTTCACCACTATTTCAACATATGGAATAATGAATGTTTTGTATAAAAATAACCATATAAATACCTTCAGAATAGGAGAAGTGTACTCGGGTATAATCACACCATGCTTGTATAACCAAAAATGTCTCCTCTCTCTTTGTGACATTGTAACAAAAATTCACACAGCAATAAAATATAAAACTATATTATTTCCTTGATAACATTAATATCAATTATTGCTTTTCATTAAAACATGCTGCCAGTGTCAGTGAGTATCACAGAGTAATGGTTGGAGTATGAAACATGATTATTGGACTGTTCATGATGATCGGAAACAACTAGTATATAAACTAGCTTCCTCAATATTATTAAATATGTCCAGGTATGACATTATATTGACATTCAAATGCGAAGGAAATTAACTTTTTTTATTTTAATGTATAAAAATACATTTTAGAATGCTGTATTGAAGTGTATTTTAGTTTTATAACTCTAGTTATCTTCCAGAAACAATTTTTCTATTTTTAGTTGCAGTGACCTTGACCTGAAAATCTAGGGAGTCCAACAACAATCCAAAGCAAGGTCTCTTCATAAGCTTGCTATACACCAAGTTTTATTACAATATCACATTCCTTACTCGAGTTATCGCCCCAAACCATTTTAAGTAACAGTGACCTTGACCTCAAGCGGTTCAAAAGCAATCCCAGCCTGGGTCTTC